AGTGGCCAGCGCCGCGCCCGCTCCGGTGCCGCGCACCGCGCCTCGCGCGCCGCGCCCCCGCGCCCCCGCCCCCGCGCCCTCCCGCCCGGCCCTCCGGGCCTTCCGCGCCCCGCGCCGCCCCCTCGCGGCCCCCGCGCCCCCAGCGCCCGCGTCCGCGCGCCCCCGCGCCCTCCGCGCCGCCGCCCCGCGCCCCCGGCCCCCGCCCCGCGCCCCCGCGCCCCCGCGCCCCCGCGCTTCGCGGAGCGCGCGCGGCCGGCCCGGGACCGGCTGCCACGGGACGGGGCGGGCGGTGGGGCGTCTTTTGGGTCTTTATACCACATCGGACTCGTCTGTACGAGTTCTTTTTCTTTGCGCATTTTGCTCTAGAGCGATTATTAAAACCAATCAGCGTAAGTCTTTATATGTCAGATAAAAAGAGATGAAAAAAAAGAAAAAATTGAAATAAAAAGGAAATAAATAAAACCATCAGCAATACTTTTTGAGCAGCCCTGATGTGTGGTCTTGTACCGCGGCCCTGGGCTGGGAAGGACTTGGCTCTTCTAAACACCCGGGCAGAGGAGGGTGGGGTGTGGGGGATTGAGCAGAGTGAGGGCCAGTGGGACACGAGCCGACCCAGCCCACCTGGCAGAGTTTGACTTTTGTAATAACGCAGGGAAGCACTGAAGATGGCAGCGGGGGGGTGGGGCGGTGGAAGGGTGATTTGATAAGAATTTTTTTTGCCGTTAGGAGGCCCTGGGCCTGCCGCAAGGGCGCGGGCTGTCTCCCTTGGACAGGGAGATGGGGTAATTCTAGGGCCCTTTAGAGGTAGCCCTCGGTTGGCGAGAGGAAGGGTCAGGGCTGAGCCTCAGGAGTCTGGCCAGAGCAGCCTAGCCGGAGGGACGGACATAGAAACCAGGAGATTAGGACAGACTGGGCGGGGGTCACTGGTCTCCGGCTAGGGTAGATGGGGACAGAAGGGGAGGGGGCTTGAGCTCCTTTGGTGGCCGGAGCCTAGAGGACAGGGACTTTTGGAAGAGTTCTGAGTTTCCCCTGGGGGCCAAGGGTAGAGACCTCCCCACCCAGCAGGCAGATAAAGAGGGCGGGCACAACCTGAGAGAGATGCTCCTAGTTATTGAAAAGGGAAAGGCAGGGCTGCTGGGTGTGGAGTCCAGGAACACAGGGCACAGGCAGTTGGGGAACCTTGGCTTCTAAATCCGATGGTTTCGGATTCCTGAATGCTAATCACACATTGAGCTTTGGATACTTTTTCCTAAAACAAACAAAGAAAGAAAGAAACAAAAAGCCCAACACAATAGTGAATGAACCAAGTTAACAGACATAGATGCAATACACAGAAATTTAACCTCAACTGAGAGGTACAATAAACTGTGGCAGGAACTAAGATTGTAAAAGGGCTTGGATTATTTCTCAAAAGCCTTTAAAAAGGGAAGGGGGAAATGCCTGGAAAGATCACTGTGCCTGCTTGCCTGGGGAATTGGCATTGTGACTCTCCTCTTTGGATTAGAAAGTGTCTAAAAATAGGGTGACATTGCAGCTTAGGGGCTTGGGGCAGCCACTCTGACCGGTGTTGGTGAAGAACGCAGGTCACCATCAACCTAACATGTCGCCTCTGGTCTTCTCTGGAAGGGTGTCCGCCAGTTTGTCTGCAACTACATGAGCTGCATTTCTCATGTCCCAATTAGGGCTGACATTTTCCAGCACAGTCTCAAAACGGGGAGCGTGTGCCTGAAGAGGGATTCGAGGATTTGTGGAAGCTTGGGCAGATCTTTGCAGAAGCTAGAACACAGAAAAAGAGAAAGCACACGTGTCCAGGTCCTGTTCAAGCCGGCCAGCCCTCTGGCTGGGGCTGCTGGATGCAAACAGGCCCGTCAGCAAGAGATAGCAGCCTTTCATCGGTGGAGCGGATGTGAAACTTGGTGGTGCTCTAAGCAGTTGACTATTTGGCCGGCGTGAATACTTTGTAGGTTACAGCCAGCTTTTTGTGGCTTGCCTGAGTCTGCCGTGGACTTCCTGGGTTGGGGCGGGGCAAGGTGCCATTTGTTCGTTCTGCTACAGTTCTCCGCAGAGCGTGATGATAGAAGCTGTGCCTGCGATTTGGTTGTGCAGCGTGGCTGCGGGAAGGGCCACTGAGGGTTTGCTTCCTATCGGAAACTTGCCTCTCACGAGTGGTTAGTGATGGTCTGGTCACATGTCCCTGAGGGCCATGTGGCAAGTCATGCTCTGGCAGGCAGAGGTGCTTATACCAGCCAGCATGGCCCCGCCCTGGCCTGGAAAAGGTGTTACACACAGGAGCCTTGGGCCCGAGGACACACTCCAGCTCGTGGACAGACAAGCCTGTTGTCCCACTGTGTTCCCTGTAACCAAGTAATCCCAACTATGTTTTTCTTCTCAAATCCCTGCAGCCAGGGAACTGGTGACTATTTTCCTGTCCTCTTGCTTGCTTCCATCTTCCCACTGCGTCTCCCCGACTCCCTGGTGCTTGAGTTTTCTGGTGTGCGTGCAGATTTGGCTTCCCTGCTCTGACTCCAGGGGCCGCACCAGGAGTGCCACTTCAGCCAGACTCCAGAATCGGGATCCCTGCTGTGCAGCTAACTATGCCCATGGCAGCAACGTGACTTTACAGTCTGTTAGCTCAATTTTCTCACCTGTAGAAGTGGGAACAATGTTGCTACTTCTGTAGAGTTCTCGTAAGAATGAAAAGAGATAGTCCGAGATGTGGCGGCAGCAGTCCCCACCTTTTTGGGACCAGGTCCTGTTTCATGGAAGACACTTTTTCCCGGACTTGGGTAGGTGTGGGGAGATAGTTTCAGGATGATTCAAGCCTTACATTTAATTGTGTACTTTATTTCTTAATTATTAGTACCTTAATATAATAATAATTTACGACTCACCATATTGCAGGATCAGTGGGAGCCCTGAGCCTTGTTTTCCTGCACTGATGGTCCCATTTCGGGGTGATGGGAGACAGTTGATTTATGTGTGGCTCCTGTGCGTCTCTACTGCTAATGGTAATCTGTATTTGCAGCTGCTCCCCAGCACTCACACCACCGCCTCTGCTCACTCCTGGTCACCAGGCATTGGATTCGCATAAGGAGTACACAGCCTGAGATCCCTTGAATGCACAGTTTACAGAGTTAGAATCCTATGAGAATCTAATGCGCGCGCTGATCGACAGGAGCGGGCTCAGGCAGCGATGCGAGCGTAGGTAGGAGGCGGCTTATAAACACAGATTTGAGTCTGCTCACTCACCTCCTGCTGTGCAGCCCAGCTCCTGACAGGCCACGAGACTGGTATGTGGCACGGTCCCTGGGTTGGGATGTAGCCTGAAGTGTTGAGCAGGATTGGTTTACACTCGTTGTTAACTAAGTTTTGGATATGATCGCTAACACACAAGTATACAGCACATCCCCTCGCCACCCCTTTATATTTCAGTCCTGTTTGCTGAGCCACCCACCTCTGGATAAGCCACATGAGCCTTCTATATAATTAGATGTGTTTCATACACAAATGATTCATTTCCCCTGCAAAACACTAAACTCCCTCATGCAAAATAGTTGTTCCCACCTGCTCTTGGTTTGAAATTTTCTATCCCCCAGCAGTAATAACTTAATCTTATGAGTATCACTGAAACTTGTCAAGTGAATATGGAGTTTTGTTTATAAAAAATAACAACGCATGTTCAGGATGAGAGTAGGAAAACATCTGATGAGCAGTGAAAACAGAGTTAGGTAACCAAATCCCTCAAGAGACAGGGGGTGAAGGGAGGTATGAATTCTCCTCCTCTGTCCTTCCTTCTTCCTTCCTTCCTTCCTTTCCCCTCCCTCCCTCCTCCCTCCCTCCCTCCCTCCTCCTCCCTCCTCCTTCCTTCCTTCCTTCCTTCCTTCCTTCCTCCTTCCTCCTTCTTCCTTCCTCCTCCCTCCTCCTCCCTCTCTCCGTTCCCCCTCTCCCCTCTCTTATTCTCCCTTCCCTCCTCCTCTTCCTCCTCTCTCCCCCCTCTCTCTATTTTCCTTCCCCTCTCCTTCCTCCCTCTCTCCCCCTTCTCTCCTCCCTCTCTCCTCTCTCTCTCCTCCTCTCTCCATCTCTCTATTTCTCTCTTCCCCTCTTCTCTCCCTCCCTCTCTCCCTCTCTCTTTCTCCTCCCTCCTTCTCTTTCCTCCCTTCCTCCTCTCTCTATTTCTCCTCATCTTCCTCCTAGTGACAG